GTTATGCAAGTGCAAGATGCAAGAGTAAGTCCCCCAGAAACACTAACTATTTCAACGAGCTATTTGATGATATCTGGGCACTTTAAAAGTGTCTGAGACAAGACTCTAAAATAAATTTAGAACTTTTCCATTGTTTTGTGGGGGGGGGTGAGAGGTGGCCAATATCCCTAGAAAATTTTACAATTTTAAGATGCTATTTGGTGCTTTCAAAGTGTATGAGTCAATGAAAAAAAACTTTTTTTTTCAAATTTTTTTTTTCAAATTTATTTTGGGGGGTGACAAAGGGGGGTGCGGTCGCACCCATCGCACCCCCCCCCCCCCCATCTGACGGCCCTGGAAATGACAACATTTTTAACTGGCACAGATGAAAGCTTTGACTGGCATGTTAACCTATTACTAAAGGCACCAATTTTTCTCTCACAATTTGTTTCCCTGAGTTGAAGAAATCACAAGGTATTATTGTGAATGTCTCAAGTTATGCTGGTAGCCGTCCCTCAGCTGTTCACTGTGCTTTCTATGCAGTTGCAAAGGCAGGCCTTAATCAGTTTACACAGTGTGCTGGTATCAAGTATGGGTCCGAAGGGGTGCGCGTGAATGCCATCTGTCCAGGGGCTATTACAACAGACATGTCAATCACAGGTGGCTTTATTGCAAACAAGGAACAGCAAGCTGCTTCTTTTGAATTAGCCAGAAAGGTTACACCAATAAATAAAATTACGACACCAGATGATTGCGCCAAACTGATTCTTTATTTGGCCTCAAATGATGCATCAATGATGAATGGAACATGTATTATTCAAGATGGCGGACATTCTTTAATGGGAATTGATGCAAAAACATTAGCTAATGCAGCACAGTGTAATTGACTGGAACATTTCAGTGCTTTGAACAGTGGAAATGAAGCAAACATAATCTGGAAAGTACACTATAATGTATCAGCATATATCAAGACTAGCTTGAATTTGATTTAGACATACTGTGTAAAATGAAATAAGTGTGCTTTGTAGGCAAATAATAACTTTAATTTACAGTGTAACATTTAATAAAGCGATAAAAATATTTTTAATTTGGTCAATGATTTCATAAAATTTCCCGAGTTATTCTTTGGTGACAGCGTTCACCTTTGTACCCTCTTGATATCTTTTTTGGCACAGTCCTTTCAATGTTCATATGGTCTTCCTCTCTTCCTGGTCCCATTTTATGAGCTCTTCAAAGAGTATCTGCTTTGGTAAATCTGTCATCTGGCACGCCGCATGTGTGACCGAGCCAACATAGTCTACTTTTTCTTATCATCACTTCAGTTAGTGCTGCCTTTGCTCTTTTCTGAATTTTTGTATTTGACACCTTGTCTTATTGCCACTTTATGCCAAGGATATGTTGTTGGAAACTCTTTTGATAATGCTCGATCTTGCAGAGGTGGTGAATGCAAGTTGTCCAGGATTTTCAGCCATACAACATAGTTGGAGTGATAATGGCGTAGTATATCAGTGGCTTAGTCCTGGTTAAGATGCTGTTTCTATTCCTTTGAATTCAATGAATTGCAAGTTCCACTGGGCTTGTACACTCGTTGACTGATTTCAGGGTCAAGTTGGTTGTCATCACTAGCCGTTGTTACCTAGGGTCACAGCTGGAGCATCATCACATTGCTGGTGAAAAAAACAGTTTTCTCTTGTCTGATGATCAAACCCCACTGATGGCAGGATGTATTAAGACTCTCAGTCAAGTCCTGGAGGGATGCTGTTGTATGTCTGCCGAATCCATCCATCCATCCATCCATTGTTGTTCAAGGTATTTAGTGGGTAGAGTTACACTTTGATCAGGGTGCTTGCCTGAACCAGTGGGCAAGCAGGCTTCACACTTCCATGCTTGTGTTCCAAGGCCCGATACTCACTGATGATGGATACAAGTAATAGCACAAATCTCCTTAAATATATAGGATATATATTTATTATTCCACCCTAAGTGCTTTATACGATTGTATAATAGCATTGTATAACTGCAATATAAAACCAACACTCATCGTATACAACTCTTGAGAATGATATACAACTCCTGGATAGCGTATACAACTCCTGGGCAGCGTATACAACTCTTCAACTTGATATACAACTGCTGAATTTAGATTTAACTTTTATTGATTAAAGCTTAGGTCGGGATAATAAGATCATATAATGGTTGATTCTGTATATCGTTATACTCTCGTGAGTATATGATATATTCACTCGTTCCCTTCAGTCACTCGTGAATATATCATATACTCACTTGAGTATAAAGACGATATACGGAATCAACCATTATATAACCTCATATTATATCACTGTCATATTCCCCACTCTCTCATTTGTCTAAACATTACATGTGACATAAAAATAAGAAGACATATTTAACAGCCATGTTTGTGATGTCAATAAAAAGACGTATTCAACGGGCGTATTCACCAGATGTGTCGTTTCGTCAAGTGTAATTCTAAAAATGATACGAAAAGTCTAAGACAGTGGTGAATATAACAGTGAATGATAAATAAATATTTCATTGTATTTTCGGTGAATACCTGTTGCACTTTCAGTGATTACGCAAGATGTATTCCCCTGGCCCTTCAGCTTTGGGGAATACACCTTGCTAGAATCATTGAAAGACGAACAGGTATTCACCTCAGTATGAAAAATTTGTATAATATTCTATAATATATCTAAAAAATACATTCCTGAAAATGCATGATAAAATCATTCCTGGCTAGCGTTCCTGTTCATTAATGTATAACAGATTTTAATTAAGATTGTGGGCAACTTGAATTTCAATATTTATTATTCACTTTTTGAATCTGTCCCAGATTGCTTGAATACACAATCTGAAGTATTCTCGGTTTTTGCTAGAACGTCAAATTTTCAACAACATGCTACAAAATATTTTATTTCTAGTCCTTTGAATAAAACTTGTTTAAAATGGTTTGTAAATGTTCTTGAAATAGTCAAGGTGCATAAAAACCTACTTTTGTTGAATGGTTTATGTCAGAAGGGTGAAGTTTAAACAGTTCTCCGCACTGCAATAATGACTTAAAGAATTTATTACACATTAACCCTCAAGTAGCATGGTATGCAAATTTCAAATGAACTTGATCTTTATAGACCTTCAATGGTCCCTAAAGCAAAAACATCAATAAAATATACTATTTGAACTTTTTCAAAGATTATATTACATTGATGTTCAGTCTTGATTATGTCGCCTATAAACAAGGGGAGAGAATATACCCAAAAATTCTTTGGCATTCACCTGTAAGCCTCAACATATGGAGTGATTCAAAAGTAATTGGCAAATTGTATAGGCATACTAGAATTCAAGAAATTGATACAGGTCAAGATCAGTCTATTATTATCTCATATGTGTGAGCTATTGTAATCACCCTGTCTGTTTGTCTGTGTTACTCTTGAAGCATCACTTGTAAATCCTATAAATTGACCTTTAACTCGGGACGATCACATTTTAATGGGACACTAAAATTGTTAAAATCACTCATTTATGCTCAAGATTTAATCTCTTTAGAATTACTATAAATTACTGAGTCAGTATTCAGGTCAAGTATGCAATAACATCATGATCAATCATGACATCTCAAATCTTCTCAGCCCTGATGTTTCAAGTGAAACAGAAAGATGCCATGAGTATCAGAATGATACAACAATGTAAATAGAACTTGCTATGTTAATTGATATGTTAACATTATTGTGATTTCAAGATTGTTCAAGAAATAATTGCATTCATTCAACGAGAGCTTCGTCTTCATAGTTTCTAACTAGACTTTGCATGCAGGTTTTATGTATGAAGTGGTGGGGATTTTGACAAAACAATTTTTGAAATTCATATTTGTGTTTACTGGGATGCATTTCAGAAGTCTCTACTCCCTGGACAAGTGCTATGTCAAAATCCCACCCTGGGGTGGGGGGGGGCTGGGGTGGGGGGTGTCACGCAAACCTCTGACTAGTTACATAGTCACAGATTTTTCTATTCATTGTTGCTACATGTATGGTTGCATTAGTATGATGGTTTCAAATGGAATATGCAATCAAAACAATAAGACTATGAACATAACAACATAAAAAATTATTGTATTAAACTATTCTTGTTTTTAAAGAAGGTGAAATAAAACATTTAATTTGAACATGTTATCTGGCTATTCATCTGTAATATTTACATGTAGAAGTGCACACTAACGTCTAACATCATTATCACTTTGAGGTTACCTCCAGCTTCACTTAACATTGATCAAAAGCCATCAACTATAACTTTTGTTTTTCATATTTTAATCCTCCAAATTCTTACCCTGCGTGCAGAGTCTAGTTAAACTACGAAGACGAAGCTCTCTTTTAAGAAGTGAAGTCAAACGAATGCAAAGGGTACCAAATTCTAGGTATTTGGGAGGAGATGTTTAATCAAAATGTTATATTTTTGACTCCTACGGAAATGAATTCACCATTAGAAGTTTAAAGAAATTACTTTTTAAAAGTGTGAAATCACAAAAATATGGCCTATATCATACGATGTACTTGAGCATGGAGATATATTTTCCAAATGTCTGGAAGTCAAACCAAGTTTCAGGTTGCATAAATTACCGTAAAATGCTTTATACTCCCAGCAAATATTTCAAACTATTTCTTATATACATATAAATCACGAATGGAAAATAAATCACAGTTCTCTCCAAACGATTTAATGCTAAGTTTCTATCATTTTCCTTTATCAAAGCATAATATACAGTATAATGATGTTATCATAAGATGTTATTAAAAACTTAGATGGTTCAACAATTAAGTCAAACTCATTTTTCTGTTTTCTTCTGACCCGCACACTTTTTTCAGGCCAAACCCGGCCGACCCTAAAAATAGTTTAAAATACCTGACACCTCTAATATTTCCGAGTGTATAACTTACCCAAATATACAATATAATATGATATGATGCATATTTAATAATGTAATATATAATATATCCATGTTTATTTTACAGTTGTCACAAAGCTGCACAAAATTACAGGAGTTGGATCTGTCATATGTCAGCCAGCTATCAAACAGGCCAGATTCAGAAAGCCTTTGGACTCTCCCCACCTCCCTCACACAGCTATCTCTTTGTGGAATACTCCTTGATGACAGAGATCTGTTTGTTGAGTGTGTAATAAGATTAACATCATTAAAAGGAATAAAGTTGAGTGGTGTGAGTGCACTCTGTGATGATACACTCAGTAAGGTGAGTGAGATTTCACTCAGTTATAGATCACTCAGGCTCAGATCATTCAGAATTGGACCACTCAGGTTTAGATCCCTTCAGGCTACATAACTCATGCATAGATCTGATTTCTGTAATTAAATGATAAAAAATATACTTGCTTATACAAGTTTTCCTCATACATTTTTAGATGCATCATAAACATTAAAAAATGTTTGAACAGCAAACTACTATTATAAGATGGAGATTGAGAATTTAAAGATTTTTGGCACAGTATGCCGAGTCATTTACAAGGCCACCATTAACTCTACAAGTGTGCTATTTATCACTGCTTGAGAAACATTCAACTCAATCACTTTTTTCAGATACTCAGTAAGATAGGTTCAAACTTGGAAATCCTGGATCTGGGATGTAGCATCACAAATAATATAACAGACGAGGGTTTGAAAAGTGTGAATAAATACTGTGATAACCTTGAGTCACTTGTCATCAACCTGCTTACTACAATCACTGGTGTAACTCTCATACCAATGTTCCAAGACACGACAAGAGCGAGCAATTTCAAGTCGCTCTATTTAAGCTGCCGTAAGGTAGGTTTGTGACCACATATATATACATGTTAAGCTAGGCATTAAAAACTTGTAACATTTTTTGTAACAAACTGATAAATTACAAAGTAAAAAATAAATAAAACCTGTTGTGATGGCAACAAATTATGGGACTTAGTAATGCCATTGACTTATAATTCAAATTGCTTATAAGTAAGACATGGCTGGACTGGATGCATCAATGATTAAACATGTGTGAAACTTTTCTTAGTATTCACATTTTGTGAAAATGTTTGTTCCCATAATGTCAAATGATTCTTCTTATCAAAGTGAAACATTTCCTTTGATTTATATGTTACCTTTTCAATGAATTAATTGTCAAATTAGTTGGACTCAATCTGGAAATACTGCATGCAACAATAAGTTACAACAATCAATGCTTAATAACAATTTCTAAATATTTATTGAAAAAGTTATGCCAGTTTAAACTGTTTTACAACTTATTTTATACTTTATACCTTTACACCGATGGTTCTTATATGATCCAGATCTTTTTGTGTGGATTATTTTGTAACAAATCCTAATCTAATTTTATTCTACCCAAGCACTTAGTTCTAATGTTCTAATGTTTTTCAACATACTCCCATCCTGTCACTGGGCATGGCGCATACAATTTGCCAGTTTCATATGTTGCTCCTGTCAATTTACATGCCTTACTGCCCTTGTTGTAGTTCAAAGACTTGCACTTATGTTTAACAAGACAATATTGCCAACAATCTTCCTTGGTTGCAACATTGGCAAAGTTTGCAATTGTTTTTGCTTTGATGCATGAGTTTGGAAGATCTAGCCTGTGTCCTGTAATGTGTAGAATGTAGAATTAATGATTGAGTTTTGTGACCTGATAGTATGAACAGTGATCTCACTGTAAATCCCCAGTTGAAAATTCGAAAATTTATTGCACCGAGTTGAGGAATAGTTACATAATGAATAAGAAACTTGATACATAAATAGAAATATTCCTGATATTCTATATCTGTATGACTTACCAAGAGGGTATCTTTGCCTATATGTCCACCCATCATGGTGGGGACAGGGGACATTAAAATCATCATATGCTGTGTTGGAATAAACTTCAGACAGTATACACACTTTAGCCATTATATGGTACTCTATAGACCTGCATGTGAATCCTATTGCTCCATGTTTACACTTGTATATGCATGAACCAACAGTTGCTATATTAAAATATACGTCATTGTTGTGCCCATCTATACAAGCATGAGAGATCTTCAGCCAAGACTGATCTTCGTCACTCACTAGAATGTAGTGTTACATATTTATAGTTACATCTGTTTACATCTTATGTCTTTTTGCCACATCCTTGGGTGCTATATTGTTAATTTTATTTATCTCACAGGCTCATCAATTGCTAAAATGTAATTTTTGACTCATGAATAAAATCAAGATTCTTACTGCACGATGCTGCTAGTATCACCAATATAATGCAAACTAAAAATAAAATAAAATTGAATTTTTCAAAGTGAATTAATACTGCACATACTGTTTATAGTTTTGTATATCAACTTTAAATCTACCTGATTTCATGCTAATGTGCCGTTCCAATAACAATTACAAATCCTCAAACCCAGTATGGACTAAATAAAAAAATACACTCTATAAACATGCAGTGAGTCTAAAAGTTTACAATATGGTTTTGCTTTTTCTATTTGGATTACATGCCATTTGCTTAAAGGCTGGTCATTGATCTAAAGCTATTCTGTTATTGTATGGTTTTCAAACTTTTCCATCACCCCTGCTACCAATGTACCAGTACAGTCAAATATATAGTACTGATCCTATCATGCTTTTGATCATATCATTTGTCATTGAGAATATTCTCTTTTGTATTTTACCATTAAAAAATACTATATGTATTTCTACAGTGAAAAAGTGAAACAAATCACTCAGTTGTGCTTTAAGAACTTAACATTTTTATATCATGATGAATTCAACAGTACGTGTAATAAAATTTGATTTTCTCTGTGTAAATATTTTGCTGAATATGAAGGGAGAGATGTGCTGATATGCACATATGCCAAGCTAGTTACAATTCATATGACCAGATAGTGCAGTGTAAATTGTCACGTAGTACATAGAATGCAATGTGTTTTACATGCTAACACTCTATTGAAGGTCATATAAATGTTGTGTAGGCTCCAGTAATTATCTATATGTGCTGCTCCAGAAATAAGATGATGAAAAATGTTAAAAATGCCACCTAGCATACTGATTTATTGTATGGTTGACAAAAGCTAAAGATTTTATAACATTGAATTACTGCATTCCAGTGCAGGTCTCAGTTTATATACAGGGTGGCCCAGAACATGTAATAAAAATGTACTGTATTTTGTCACATTTTCAGCTATGTGTAGAGGTGCTGTATGCTGTAGCCAGTGGCTGCCATAACATAGAGCTATTGGACTTATCAGGCCTCAGTTTATATACAGGGTTGGCTAAAAGTGTGATAAAATGTACCGTATTTTGTCATATTTTCAGCTAAGTGTAGAGGTGCTGTATGCTGTAGCCAGTGGCTGCCATAACATAGAGCTATTGGACCTATCAGGCCTCAGTTTATATACAGGGTGTGCCAAAATGTCTAATAAAATGTACTGTATTTTGTCATATTTTAGCTAAGTGTAGAGGTGCTGTATGCTGTAGCCAGTGGTTGCCATAACATAGAGCTATTGAACTTATCAGGCCTCAGTTTATATACAGGGTTGGCCAAAACATCTAATAAAATGTACTCTATTTTGTCATATTTTCAGCTAAGTGTAGAGGTACTGTATGCTGTAGCCAGTGGCTGCCATAACATGGAGCTATTGGACCTATCAGGCCTCAGTTTATATACAGGGTGTGCCAAAACATCTAATAAAATGTACTGTATTTTGTCATATTTTCAGCTAAGTGTAGAGGTGCTGTATGCTGTAGCCAGTGGCTGCCATAACATAGAGCTATTGGACCTATCAGGCCTCAGTTTATATACAGGGTTGGCCAAAACATCTAATAAAATGTACTGTATTTTGTCATATTTTCAGCTAAGTGTAGAGGTGCTGTATGCTGTAGCCAGTGGCTGCCATAACATAGAGCTATTGGACCTATCAGGCCTCAGTTTATATACAGGGTGTGCCAAAATGTCTAATAAAATGTACTGTATTTTGTCATATTTTAGCTAAGTGTAGAGGTGCTGTATGCTGTGGCCAGTGGCTGCCATAACATAGAGCTATTGGACCTATCAGGCCTCAGTTTATATACAGGGTGTGCCAAAATGTCTAATAAAATGTACTGTATTTTGTCATATTTTAGCTAAGTGTAGAGGTGCTGTATGCTGTGGCCAGTGGTTGCCATAACATAGAGCTATTGGACCTATCAGGCCTCAGCTTATATACAGGGTGTGCCAAAATGTCTAATAAAATGTACTGTATTTTGTCATATTTTCAGCTAAGTGTAGAGGTGCTGTATGCTGTAGCCAGTGGCTGCCATAACATAGAGCTATTGGACCTATCAGGCCTCAGTTTATATACAGGGTGTGCCAAAATGTCTAATAAAATGTACTGTATTTTGTCATATTTTAGCTAAGTGTAGAGGTGCTGTATGCTGTGGCCAGTGGTTGCCATAACATAGAGCTATTGGACCTATCAGGCCTCAGCTTATATACAGGGTGTGCCAAAATGTCTAATAAAATGTACTGTATTTTGTCACACTTTCAGCTAAATGTAGAGGTGATGTGTGCTGTAGCCAGTGGCTGCCATAACATAGAGCTATTGGACCTATCAGGCCTCAGTTTATATACAGGGTTGGCCAAAACATCTAATAAAATGTACTGTATTTTGTCATATTTTCAGCTAAGTGTAGAGGTGCTGTATGCTGTAGCCAGTGGCTGCCATAACATAGAGCTATTGGACCTATCAGGCCTCAGTTTATATACAGGGTGTGCCAAAATGTCTAATAAAATGTACTGTATTTTGTCATATTTTAGCTAAGTGTAGAGGTGCTGTATGCTGTGGCCAGTGGTTGCCATAACATAGAGCTATTGGACCTATCAGGCCTCAGCTTATATACAGGGTGTGCCAAAATGTCTAATAAAATGTACTGTATTTTGTCACACTTTCAGCTAAATGTAGAGGTGCTGTGTGCTGTAGCCAGTGGCTGCCATAACATAGAGCTATTGGACCTATCAGGCCTCAGTTTATATACAGGGTTAGCCAAAACATCTAATAAAATGTACTGTATTTTGTCATATTTTCAGCTAAGTGTAGAGGTGCTGTATGCTGTAGCCAGTGGCTGCCATAACATAGAGCTATTGGACCTATCAGGCCTCAGTTTATATACAGGGTGTGCCAAAATGTCTAATAAAATGTACTGTATTTTGTCATATTTTCAGCTAAGTGTAGAGGTGATGTATGCTGTAGCCAGTGGCTGCCATAACATAGAGCTATTGGACCTATCAGGCCTCAGTTTATATACAGGGTTGGCCAAAACATCTAATAAAATGTACTGTATTTTGTCATATTTTCAGCTAAGTGTAGAGGTGCTGTATGCTGTAGCCAGTGGCTGCCATAACATAGAGCTATTGGACCTATCAGGCCTAGATATTGTAGAAGACACCCTCCTCGTGGATCTAGCTGAGAACTGTACCAAATTAAAAAAGATTTTCCTCAAGGCCTGTAGACAGGTAACATCAGTTTCGATTAAGGAGAATTGATTCTGTAACTCATATTGAAGTTCATGTTGCAAGAGAGTGAAAATCACTTTTATTATATCTAAAAATACACCAACAGTTCTGGTGCTGTGTTATGGGATATACCTGTATTCCGTGTAAAATAAAGTAAATATGTGCTATGAGGCCTAATATAAATGTTTATTAATTAATCTAAACTCTGAGGTCTAACATGAACTCCTTACAACATGCAGATCATTTAACAAGAGATTTCTTTTATTTGGAGCAAGTTATGGTGCAGAATTTGAGCATTATATGATTTTTTACAAAGTAAATAGTTTTTAATAGCATAGCGACATCTTTATTATCTTACTATAACTGATTATTAGCGCATGCGTATGTTCATTCGATTTACACGTAGTCATAGTTGAGTAAAGCTTTTAGTTTTAAGATATTGACCTGACAGACTTATCTATTTTGATGTTCAGATCACAGATGTCGGTGTATGTGAGTTGTCCCGCTGCTGCCCACTGAAAGCTGTTAATATATCTGGCTGCAGTAACCTAACAGACAAGAGCATCTTTGCATTGGCTAATAGCTGCCATTACTTGGAATATGTCACTCTCAATGGATGTGCCAAAATATCACCTGTTGCTGTTAGATACTTACTGGTAAGCCTTTTATTCAACACCATTATCTGTATGTGAATTCACATATGCTTATGCAGTTATTTATTTTAAAGGAGCAACAGTCAAATAGTCAACTTACACCTGAATGTGAATGGTGAAAACAAAGACCTATCATACAAAGAATAAACTACTGTTTATCTCATTTTTCTAGAATGCGACTTTAGTAGCTTTTCTTTGAACATGTCTTTCAGTAATATGTGTTTCTTGTTTCCAATTATTCATTTAGCAAACGCTTATTATAATACAAATAAAACAAACTACTTATTAATGAGGAAATTGTCCATGCTTAACAAAAATTTTATTCCACTTCCCCATCTTGCATTGAAGAATTACATTATATATTCACCCATAAGCCTCTAATTTAAAAAACTTAATTTTCAGGATTGCTGCCTTGAAAGAGTGAAAATCATGCATAGAGTGCCAAATGCATATCCTGATCAGCTTATGGCAAAGAACCTCGATACTGGCGAGTTCTGCAGAGTGGATCTGATGAACGTTACATAAAGATGACATTATAATATTAAATGTCTAATTTCTGGGACTTGATCAGCTAATTATTTTTCAACAGGGTTCCTATACACCTTTTACATATTAAAATTCCCTGACATTTCAAGGCAAAAATTTCCTAGATTTTATTTTACTTTGCACAGTCTCCATGAAGTCACAACAAATGCAAGTACAATGTAGTAATTAAAGGTCAAGATTAACCATAAAAATTTCAACGTCTTTCACTCTTTATCAAAGAGTGTTCAATTCAATTATCCAAGAGATATCATTTTTCTTATAAATAATTGCCAACTTATATACTTTCAAAAAAGTTTTGTCTTCTTATGATTTAATATTTTTAGTTTTTTTAGTTTTTATCTTCAGCATCTTATAAAGCCTTGCACTTTCTGTTTTGTTTCCTTTTCAACTCTCTTTTTGCAGTTCAGCATTAAATAGGAAATTTATTCAAAATGTTATCACATTCTTTACTTAGGCAGGCTATATACAGTAAGTAATACAATGCACAGTCTAAAGTTAAACTATATCAGGTATAAAATAATTATAATTATATTGCCTAAACTTCTCACTTGCAGTCCTTTGTCATTTCTTTGCTGATGGGTATTAGGTTGGTATCAATGGCATGGTACTTGGTCACATTCTATTATGATGCGGTTCATGCCATTAAACACTCTCCTTCCAGTCACTAGAACTTTAGCTGTCATATTGTTTTGCTGCATGTTGGAATTCACAGAAAATCCCCTTTCAATAGCAGCCAGACCATGAGACAGAACCAACAATGTTTTCTTGATAGTTTCATGAGAGTCACAATCTTTTCCAATTCTCACATTCATTCCATTCAACATAATAGAATTCATCTTGTCGTTGGCTGGTGTAATTATGTTTGACGATTTCTTCTTTCTTTGTCACTTGGCTCTTTGCAAAGTCATTGAATTCTGCAAATATTTCATCAGCTTTTTTTTGTGAAGCTCTATTTATTTCTTCTTCATAAAATATTATAATGTATATTCCATCAATCGCCCAAGGGCATTATAGTAGGATACAAAGAAATAACACAAATACAAAATTATGAATAGGTCAAGGGGTTCACTCTGCACTTGGGGTTTCAGGCCATGGGGTGTAAATTGGATAAATGTGGATAATTACATCTTTAAGCACCACCTTCTCAGGTGAGATTAGTTTTACCTGTGATTTTTGAAAGCACAAGTCTTCACAGTAGCGTGCGGCTTTGGCAGGGTAATGAGCTGTCATCACAGGATTATAACAACAAATCTGGCCATATTATACTTCAATGGACTCCTTTCCTTCAAATTCATTATTATTGCTTATATAAACATTTGGAACTGTGTTTTGTATTCCCGCATCCTGAGTGGCAGATTGTCAATGTTTTTTAGAGCTTGTATTGTAGCAATATTTAATAATATTGAGTTTATCAAGTTTATCAAGTTATCCTGTTTCTCAACATCAATATCCATCCTTTTTATGTCTCCATCACATAGTGTGGTTGAGACCTTGTTTGCATTTTCAAGAACTTCTGGTTTGATAATTATCCTATGATGTTCATCATAATCACACCACTGCATCTACCAGTACCAAAGATGACACCTTGTGCTCATCTGGTTGGAAACAGAAATGGGTGTAATTCTTTTCTGACACTGATGAATGCTTGTAGTTTTGCGATTGTTTTGTCATCTGTAGCTCCATGAACTACACCAAATGACTTGCATATGGGGATTTTACTTTCTACAACACTGCTGCAACTGCAAGTTCAATGTACTTCTACATATGGAGCCATATCATAATTGCTTGTTCAGCAACTGTAATATCCTCCAACCATTTTGTTCAGCAATTTTGATGGATTCTTGTCATGGTGCTAGAGAACCATGGAAGAGAAAATGTAGGCCTTTTCACAAGGAGTCTATATTCCATAAGCTAGATTTTGCTCCAGTTTTAAGGGCACTGTGGACCATGTGCTCCGCAAGATCCAATATCAATAAGTCATGTATGGCTCATTCCTTTCACGTCTTTTAGAAATCTAATAATGAAACATAGCCCATCCATTCTGATTTGCAGGAGTCAGTCAATTGGCCAATATTGAAATTTCTTTAAAGTATGATGTATGGCTCCCTTTGCTCCAGTTTTAAGGGCACCCTGGACAATGTGCTCCGCAGGATCCAATATCAGTAAGTTGTAGATGGCTCATCTTCTTTATATCTTCTTTCATGTCGTTTAGAAATCTAAAAATGACATATGCTCCATCCATTCTGCTTTTCTGGAGGCTGTCAGATTGCCAATTTTGAAATATCTTCTTTGAAGTGTGATGTAAGGCTCTCGGCTTTGCTCTCCAGTTTAAGTGCCCCGTGGACCGTGTTCTCCGCAAGATCCAATATCAATAAGTTATGGATGGCTCATTTTCTTTCTATTTTCTTTCACGTCTTTGAGAAATCTAAATATGACACATGGCCCATCCATTCTGATTTGCAGGAGTCGGTCAATTGGCCAATATTGAAATTTCTTCTTTAAAGTATGATGAACGGCTCCCAGGTTTGCTCCAGTTTTAAGGGCACCCTGCATCCTGTGCTCCGCAGGATCCAATATCAATAAGTTGTAGATGGCTCATTTTCTTTATATCTTCTTTCATGTGGTTTAGAAATCTAAAAATGACATATGCTCCATCCATTCTGCTTTTCTGGAGGCTGTCAGATTGCTAATTTTGAAATATCTTCTTTGAAGTGTGATGTAAGGCTCTCGGCTTTGCTCTCCAGTTTAAGTGCCCCGTGGACCATGTTCTCCGCAAGATCCAATATCAATAAGTTATGGATTGCTCATTTTCTTTCTATTTTCTTTCACGTCTTTGAGAAATCTAAATATGGTACATTGCCCATCCATTCTGATTTGCAGGAGTCTGTCAATTGGCCAATATTGAGATTTCTTCTTTGAAGTGTGATGTAAGGCTCCAGACTCTTAAAGTACCAAAAGACTCAGTTCTCCCAAACTGACCCATGTAAATCACTATCCCAGAACCAGACAATGAAATCCATTTAACTTTTATGCAGAACATTATTTAAACTGTTATCAAAGAAGACTACAAATGAAATATCACTGCCACAAGCCTTTGCTTCTAGTTTCTCTTTGTAAAATGAAGCCAATCCAAAAATAATCAGATATCCACATTTATCTGCACCACATTTAAATTCTGTTGCAATGACATTGTCTTGAAATTGTCTCTCGTCTACCTCATTTAGCCCAGTAGAGAGTTGCAAGAGAAATATGTTTTGACAACCTTCATCACTTCCAAAACGTGGGCAATGAGAACACTGCCCTTCAGAACATAAGCATCCATTTTTGTAGGCACTTGTTGCATTGCGGTAAAGAAGTTGGTGGTGGGGTGGAGGTTCTGGTGTCAACAATGTTTCCATATCCATTTCTTTGTTCTCATCAGACTACACCCATCGCTGGAGTTACAGTAGCTTGCGGAGCTTCAACCTGATAACAGTATTGTATTGTATTGTATTGTCTCTTTATTTCCTCCTTATGAGAAGATTACTTTTTATTGGAAAAGTAGAAAGCATCATTATCCCTTGGCTTGAGTGTTTCATGACCTGTACATGTATGTTTGGTGTGTTTTGCTGCTTTTTATCCATGTTGGATAGACTAAACCTAGATTGGTACATAGTGCACCTTGCATCATTTATATTTTTATGCATTCTTGAAGCCATATAGTAGTGCCTTGCTTCCAATCTTCATTAAAACAAGTCTTTCCTGGTATTCTCCTGGTTGTCATTTTCTTTAATTAGTTCCAAGTTGTTACTAGATATACTATCTGAAATGAACAGCATTTGATTATCAAAATAGTCTTTCTTAGTTGGCAACAGCTTTGTGTTATATTTCTGAGAATTTGATAAGCACAACATATTATAGTACTACAGTGTATAATTTAACTTATCTAAATGGTTGTGCAAAGGCAAGAGACACCAAACTCTTCAGAATATCATTCAGTTCAACCCAAATGAAATGATTTACATTTGTCGAGTTAACTAAAGATGTGATATTGGATTTCAATGATATTCTGATAGACTCCTTGCTGACACATTATTTTTTCAACACTAATAGTAAGACAAAATTCTCTGACACATATACTGTTTTAAAATACCCTAATATTCCTTGGCCCTTTTTTAACTTATTTTGAAAATCTGACAATTCCAGGTGTATAGGGACCCTGTTTCAAGGCCCATCAATCAATGCTTAGTGTGTCATCTACATTTGCTGTCTAATTACATTTATTACTTTTTATTATCCCAACAGACAAAGTTTGGCAAGAAGCCCTTTCTCCATCAGTCAGTCAGTCAGTCCATCTGTCTGGAACATTACTCAAATACCAGTAGACATTTTTTATAGGACTGAAGCATATTTATTTTTCAAATTTTTTTCAAAAAACATTTTTAATTTTTGAAATTCAAAGTTTTTCACTTTCAACCAAAGTAATATATTATATATATAATGTACTGTTTGAAATTTTGAAAGTGTATTCACAACAAACTACCATATATATTCAGTGTTTTTCATCCTAACCTCCATTGGTCATGTCAGCAAGATGGGAATTTTAGTTGATTTTTAGATCTCTGAAGTATGACATTATTCAACTCAAATGAAAGGGAATTTTAAGTAGATTGCAATTGTTGTATAGTTTTTCTGATTGAGGCCTCAGAAAATTCAAAATGGCCACTTAATGACAATGTAATAGTCTTGTAATCCCTTCAAAGTATTGCTACCGGGAGAAAGACATTTTAGAGTCGATCGTTTTTCTGATTCATGAAATTTTTTCTTGAAAGTTCAAAATACAATGTGGCTGTCTAAAGAAAATTTGTTATGCCCTACCTTATGTACAAAAGGTCACTAATATTGTATTGTCTTTGATTTGTACCTTTGAAATTCAAAAGTAACATATACCAATTTCTGGTTATACAAATGGATTAAAAAGTACATTGTGCATTGAGAAATGTAGTACTGTATATCCTGTGCATTATTTTGTTTTGTAGAAACATATACTTGTTTTAATAAATGAAATATGATAAGTATTAATTACAAATACTGTATTATTTTATTATGTGAATAAGTTATGGTCATTGGCTTGGGAAAAACAGTTGGAGTAATGTTTTACAATTAGATAACTCCCACAGTTTAACACACTGCATTTTTTATACCAATGGCTACTTAATGTGATTGATATATTTGGATTTTCACAGTTTCTTAATAAATTGTTACGTTCAACAGTAACAGATAAGTGATGACTTTTGAGTTTTGCTTAAAAGAAAACGGCGTGTTGTTCAAATATTCTTGCATTATCAAAGAAACATTTTAAGATAGTAGGAGTTTACTTCAAAATTATAGTAATTTTCTATACCGTAGCCGTTAATTACCATCATGGGACTCCAAATATTGTGTAAAGCCAACGGTAAGCAAGGCAACGCGCAAGCAATACGAGAAGAAAATGAAGATGAAATTGTGTATCCAATTTTTGTCCCACTCTGTAAATCATTATAAATGAATATAGTAAGTCATCACTCAGCATCGACATAGGATATTAAAATAATGATAATACGACATCAGTTAGTGATCACAATTATGAAATTAGGGAAAATAAAATTATAGCCAATTCACAATTAATTATAATATAAATAAGATCAGATAAGACCAGATATTTATTCAATCAACATATCGCGAATTGGACTATTAATCCGTCGACCAATCAGTAATTTTTCAAATCATTTTATTTTTGTAACACAATTTGTGCACTGAATATTATTCTATTTTTTCCTTGTGCAGTTGTGTAATATATATTATTTTAGAATGCTGATGATGCTCTATAATATTGTGCTACTTTACGTAACTACATATGTACGGGGGTCATTCAAAAATACAATTTTTCATTCAGTGGAAATTTAGTTTGAAACCACGAAAATTAGTAAGAATTAATGTTTGAATTAGCACTTATTGATCGAATCTAGTACAAGCATTAGAAAAGTATGTTCTGTTTTTGTGTATAACCAAATGACAGCTCCATTTGCTATTCTAGTACTTATTTTCAGTTCCAAATTCGATTTTGCTTTGGACTGTCGCCTTACATCATATATAATTACAATATATAATGTAATTCTTTAAATAATTGTTTCATTACTTTGACACCCAATTTCCATATGCTTGACCATCGATTATGATAAGTATATACGGATTTAATCCGTCTGATTGTTAATTTAGACTCCCTATAAAACCTGAATTAATTCACCCATTCTATTATTTACAAGCGATCAGCTTAACTTGCTTGGACATCACCATGCGTTTCATCACAGTTTGCAGGTAAGTAAATTATTGTGAAAAATATTGATATTTCCACCTGTACTGAGATTTTGTTGCGCATACAAAAGCTACGCACCCATCAATAATGTTTCTCAGATCGTAAAATCATTGTTTAGGATTCTCGAGCATTCAATAATGAACTTATTAATTCTAATTTTCTTTTTTACTCCTTGTAGTATGTTGTTGGTTGCTGTGTGGGGAGCTGATGCCATGTCAGCGCGCCGTATTACGAGTAAGTGATAGACCCAATGCCCAACCCTGATATGATCCATGCTCTGTAGTCCTTCTTGGTGAACAACTTTAGGAAAATAATATTGATTTTGTCCGTCCGTCCGTTCGTTTGGTTGGCCGGTTGATAATTCAAATACGAATTGGTTCAAATTTTATAGGCTTATAAGACCTCTGCTAAAGACGATGAGGATTGGCTCCCAGGATCGAAACTCGATATTTTCAAACAATTAAAATGTCGTTATTTTCCAACAATAAATTCAAAATAAACAGTCCAAAAGATTCGAACCAATATCTCGATCATTTCTTGTGAGTTTTGGAATTTTTCGTTTGGAAATAAGACCAAAATTCACGATTCAAATGTTGAAGTGAACTAAATGTTGCACTCTGGGAGCAAATCCTCCTTGGCTCAAGAGGGAAATTTTAATATGGCTGCTCAATTCAAAATGGCCACCATTTTGCGTAAAAATTTTATCTTGGATAACTCAAATATTAGTTGACGGAACAAAGGCTAATTTTCAAGATGGCTGCTTAATTCAAAATGGCTGATATGGCCGCAAAATGTCAATTAGTTTTTATAATTAATATATAATATAATCAGTTATTTGATAACTCAAATACCACTTTACGGATTTAGTTCGAATTGAATGCTGTTGTCTAGGGACATAGGAGCTCTGCTCTGCTACTTTTAAGATGGCCACTGAATTTCAAAGATTTTCATAAAAATATGATTTTTAATAACATAAATACCATTTTTGGACAAAATTATGAAATTTGACCCATAATTTATAGCTTTATATAATTTGGACAAAGGGCCTCTGCTCAAATTGTGAAGGGCTTGGGTTGCAGGCATGAATTATTATGTTTATGAATTATGAATCATTTGAGACTGAATGCTTTTATGAGTTCTCTTGTTGATGATTTGAGTATTAGCTATCAAGTTTTTCTTCAACATGTATTGTAATGACCTCAGCATGAATGAAATGTCCCTTGCTTGGTGTTCTGGTCCTGAGGTAGTAAACATTACTTCTTTCAAATAAGATCATGGTTTTGGGATATATATACAGGGTGATCACTAAGTTCTGGGAATTTATCTGTCATTTCATTATTTTTCAACCAATTTACTTGAAATTTTCAAGGTAAATGGGGAATGTAATTTTGGGTTGGATAAAACTCAGTCTCATAGTCATCTGATGTCACAATGAATAATTATTGTTAATATAGCAACATGACGAATGGCGTAGCGGGTCAAGTAAAATAAAAATGAATTCAAATTTTGCTTGATCCAAAACTATGGTTAATAAATACCTATTTCACCCTATGCAGACAGAGCCTGTGGGAAATATTGGGTGCGGAGCAAATGAGCGGAGGGTGCGGAGCTAACGGTCATTTTTGAATTTAAATTTGGGATATTTCTGAAACTAAGCCGTTTTGGGACTTCAAATATACCAAGATATGTGTATTTGAAACCAAATATCAATACAATTGTGAAAATAGTAGAGCAATTCATTCTATAGCGACGCAGTGTGCCTTAAACCTTTCCCAGACCTATATATTTTGAAATTATCCTTTTAATACTGAGTCCGCAGCATTCATAAAAAATGGTGTTCAAGGTACACTATCTATACAAATTATTTTTTGCATCTTGGAAGCCAGACAGTATCTGTTTGATTTTATAAAAATTCGGAAATGTTTATCAGATATGAGCCCCCTCTAAATATTGGGTGCGGAGGAGCTCCATAAACGTACCTCCGCACCCAATATTTAGAGGGGGCTCATATCTGAAGAACATTTCCGAATTTTTATAAAATCACACAGATACTGCCTGGCTTCCAAGATATAGGTCTGGGAAATGTTAAAGGCATACTGCGTCGCTATAAAATGAATTGCACTACTATTTTCACAATTTTATTGATATTTGGTGTCAAAGACACATATCTTGGTATATTTGAAGCCCAAAAACGGCTTAGTTTCAGAAATATCCCAATTTTAAATTCAAAAATGACCGTTAGCTCCGCACCCTCCGCTCATTTGCGCCGCACCCAATATTTCCCACAGGCTCTGTCTGCATAGGGTGTATTTGGTGGACATATTTCTGTGATTTTTTATATTTTTCAAATACTTCTAACTTTAGTTTCTAAAGTAACATCTTTATTGTTATGTAAGGGTGTACTTTGCTCTATTGTCGTACCATTCGTCAGCATCTCAGTCACAATCATGACTAAAAATAGCGGGAAGTTATCTTCCATTATGACTATGCTCCTTCCCATTACTCAAGCTGCCCATACTACTCTTGAAGAATTAGGGTTCACACAAGTTATTACTGCCCCGTATTCACCAGACAATAATCACCAGATGAAGCACTATTAGGCTTCACTACACTTTGGGTGCTAAAGCATTATATGAGAGGTCATAAGTTTGATTCCGATAAGGGACTGATTTCAATGGCTTGAGCAAATCTTCAAGGGATACCAAAGGGAGGACTAGAACACATCTTTATGGACTAAGTTTGTCAACAACGCATGTGCGTCCAGGCTAATGGAAACAATCATAAATGAAATGATCCTCTCAGCAATGAAGAATACTTCTGAATAAATGACTTCAATAGTACTGTTCTGCCTCCAGTACAAGTAGTTTGACGCAACCATCTAGGCAAGATGAATATGTTTTGGCAGGAAATTTTCAAATTAACATCAGTCAAAATTTGCTGACCCGCGAACCAATTCTACTTTTTTTGTAATTACAATAAAATAAATTGTAGATGTGATGTGTATATGAAACATTGTTTGTCAATTCAGAATTATACAATTTACACTTGCTGAAAATTTCAACTCAAATGGTTGAAAAATCTTGAAATGGCAGACCAATTCCCAGAACTAAATGATCGCCCTGTATATTAGATATTCCTACTACTGTCTAATGGTGCCATTGACATTATACGCTACATGTGAATTTGTCATTTTAGAATGTGCTAACTTCGCTTCGTCACAAAGAGTGCAACAGCGTTGTCGACGAAAGCTGACGTCCGACCCAGTCTTCATACAGCTAATGCAGTCCGGAAAACCCATATGCGAAATGTAAGTAAACTTGATATTGCCATCACTGATTGCAACCGAGAGCTCCAAGGAGGATTGCCACCAATGATTCAAACTCGATCCTCCGTTGCTTGGCATGGGACAAAATAATGTTTCTATAAAGTTCATCTTTGGATCAACATTATGGTAATATTGAAACTCGCGTGGTGTCAGTCTTCAACATAATGGATATCCATGCCCGTCAACTGGGGATGAGTTTGAATCACCACTGCCAATCGATTGCTGTGTTTGTAAAATATATATGAGCGTTCATTCCAAGACTGGGCGGTTCGGCACTTCATAAACATATGTAGCAATATTTCTTAGTATTACTTTGTATTTATATAATATAATTTTATTATTAGGATGATTGAAGTCACAGAAATGTCCTACAATTGCATTTCTGCCCAAATCAAGTCTAAACCTAAGTGTAACGACCCAGCTCTTGATCCATCTCTTAAAGAGGGAGGAGCCATCGCCATAGATATGATCAAATCCATGTATTGCGCCGGTATGTACTTTTTCACTTCTTAACGTGTCTTGGGGGCCATGCATATAACAGTATAGAGACAAAAAACAATTACATTTTCTACATATCGAATGATACAGTTCGCTGCGATTCAGCAATTAACCCAACACCATGTCATTTGCAATGGATGTTGAGGTCCTTTCGGTCACCTCCGAGAGTAATGGCTGCAGTATTAACTACCCTTGAGTGAAGACGAAGCTCTCTTTTGAGAAGCGAAGTCGAACGAATGTAAAAGGTATATATTGAGTGACAAACGTATAATGCTACATGTAATGTATATGTAATTATTTAGTAATATTTCAGAACGAACCTAGCTCATAATCTTGACTTATATATATTTTTTTTATTTTTCTATAGGTTATTGTTATTTATTTCCATATTATTCAACACAATTGAGGGGCCGTCAGCTATAGTTTCAAGATGTTTTGAGTTTACTCTCATTTTCAATGCTGATAGGGGATTTAGTAGTTTCTCAATTCTTGCTCGGACTTCGTTTATATGAGTTTTAAAGTTCAAGTTTTTCTTGACTTTAATATGAGGACACTGTCTATATAACATGGTTCGAAAACGATGAAAAATATTTTAATTTTACAGGTACAACAGAAAATAGTGTAAAAAGGAGCGTGGACGACCTGGAAGCTGCACATATTGCAGAGATTGCTGTCAATACAGTGGCTACAAACATCTAAGAGATGAATGCATAACTTTTTTGCTTTGTAAATGTATCAATTACTAAATATGGAAAAATATACTTCAAAATCCTCTGCTCTGTTACTATATTATACTTTGTATGATGGTTTGGTTATGCATTGGCGTAACTAGGAGATGTGGAGATGTCGAGCAGAGTTAACTTTTTCAGAGACGTTCTATATCACCCCATGCAAACAGATCGCCTAAAATTACATTCGTATGATGTGAGATTCGACATTCACCAGGAAAGTAGAAACATTTTGTCACCCATGATGCAAATTAATTTTTACTGATTAATAAATGACCATCATATTAAATTCTATAAGTATGAGAATAGCATGACGTCTTTATATTTCAAGGTAACTTGTTTGAAAAATGTTGATGGTGATTGAAATGACGATATAAAGATAAAACCGCAACGAAATATTTGTAGATTTCTTTGAAAAACTAAGAAATATCTTATATATTGAATTTTTCAAAACAGAAGAAAACATGTATGAATAGTAAGGCATGTAGGTCCCCCTGGTAGCATTAAAATTGGTCTCGTATAAGTCATACTACCGGATCACACAATTAATATTTGAAACCCTAGTACTATTATTCAAACTTATGATCGGACATAAGTATGATGTGTACTTCAATGTAATATTAGTAAAGTAACATCATACTTATGTCCGATCATATGTTCGAATGATAAGTGTATTTCAAATATTAATTGTATGACATGTATGAAACCAATGTCAACGCTACCAGAGGAATCTGACTTACAGGTCTAACATTTTATGTATGTTTTTTCTGTTTTGAAAAATTCGATATGTGATATATATTTTTTTTTCAAAGAAATCTACAAATATTTTATTACGGTTTTATCTTTATATCGTAATTTCGATCACCGCCATCACTTTTCGAATGAGTTACCTTGAAATATCGTACAAGCAAAGTATTCTCTAATTTTGAATATAACAAAATGACACTCCCATTTTTTCAATTTCCAGTTCTAAATTCGATTTTTGTCTGAACTGTCAAAATACAAATCGTAGATAATTCCAACAATTACCCTATCATTTTTGACACTCGATTTCCTTATATTTTACCATCCATTATAAGATAAATATATAAAAATTGAATCTGTCTGCCCGTTAATTGATGATTTATCTGTTTCATATAAAAACCGGAATTCACCCGTTCTACATTATTTACAAGAGATCAACGTATCTGTTACTTGCTTGTTAGGCTTAATAGAGGACATCACCATGCGTTTCATCATAGCTTGCAGGTAGGTGAATTACTGAATGAAAATATGATAATTAACGTGAACATGCATCAAAAACTTTGCATCTCTATTCTACGAATGCGGAGTTTCAAGCATTTCCAGAAATGTGTATCTGAATGGGTTGATTTTGCCTCTCGAATCGTGCGAATACAGAACGTGTGCGCCAGTCAACATCTTTGCGCGTCAAATCATTATTTGTGGACGCTCAAATATTCAATGATAAACTTATTCTCAATTTATCAGTTACATATTTCCGTCAGATTTATTGCGATCTTCACAAGGTTTCTGTTGCTTCACCTTGATAAGGCCTTGGAAGTAGGACTGACATATTGCGATCTCAAATGTTTCGATATTTCAAAGTCTGATAAGGTTTTTGGCATGCTGGATAAATTAAATAGCGGCCATATCACTTTTCGATACACACTGTATATCACAGTGCGATACCTATTGCTATATGTCTTTTATTAGTATCTAATGCGGGTGTTAATGTTTCTGAACTTTTGGAATGAACTTGTTTCTTGCAGTATGTTGTTGGTTGCTGTGTGGGGGGCCGATGCCATGTCACAGAGTCAGATTATGGGTAATTAAGAGATACACATTGCCCCATCCCCGATGTGAAATGATATATTTTGAGCATTGACGGCGCCTCCTCATTTCATGTATTTTTCATTGAAGAATGTCTTCTGATGCTACCATGGGCAGTTCTTGAAACATATACAAGGGTTGTCAAATAAGTCCTCAACTATTTGCTCTATCATTCTTAATATTCTTCAGTTCAGCTAACATTGATTTTGTGTATAATGCAATTCGGAGCTGAAGTTTCAGTACTACCTGACATAGCATATGGATTTGTAATTTTAGAATGTGCTATGGTTGCTATGGCACCAGAAGTGCAACAGTATTGTCAACAAGAGCTGACCTCCAACCCAGCATTCGGAAAGCTTTTGCAATCTGGAAGACCCATGTGCGAAGTGTGAGTGAAATGTCCAATGGCATGACTGATTGCAACAGGAGCTCGAATTAATTGTCAGCGTTTCCGTAAAGGGGATCATGGTTTTATTAAACATAACTTGAACTAATTACATAATGAAACATGCAAAAATATTGAAATTGGATTTGCTGTAGCCTTTGTATGTAGTTCATACTTTTTATCATTTATAATATTGTTTCATTTTTATTATCAGCATGCTCGAAGCCACAGATATGTCCCACAGTTGCATCTCTTCCCAAATCAAGTCTAAACCCAAGTGTAACGACCCTGCTATCGATTCAAGTCTTGAACAGGGAAAAGCCGTCGCAAGAGAGACGATCGAAGCGTCATATTGCAAAAGTATGTACTATTTCACATCTTAGAGGCCACATAAACACAATGAGTATCTTGATATTCACACTGAAACGAATATGATGTCTTTCCGGTTGATTTACGGAGCAATGGTAATAGGCGTATCTTCTTCGAAGTTGGAATTGTAACTTGTATTCTGTTTTATTGTAGAGTCAGTCAAACGTATCGTGTCTGGCGTTGATTTGATGCATGTCATATGTAATAAAAATGAATGTTTCAGAACAAACCTAGCTCACAATTTTGAATTGTAAAGACATTGTGCAAATATGGTTCTATAAATGATGTTTTGATATTGAAATTTTACAGAAGAAGATAAGAGGAGCGTGGACGACCTGGAAGCAGCACATATTGCAGAGATTGCTGTCAATACAGTTGCCGCAAACATCTAAGATGTGAACGCAAACTTTTTTTGGCTTTGGCTTTGTAAATGATCAATTACTTAATGAAATAAATCATATTTCAAAATACTTTGTATAATGTTTTGGTTATGCGTGATCCAGGTCGTGCTGTAAAGATTACCCTTTTTTCATTTGGTGGATTGTATACTAGAGTGTTTTATTTTTCAAGAATGTTCTCAGATCACAACGGCCCTTTAACACGGTGTTACAAATGGTGCTGGTAGTTCACTGATTTTTTCAACAAAATTGGATAAAGTTAAAACTGTTAAAACATTGCGGGCGACGCCCACTTTTCATTGGAAAACATTTTCCGCACACTTTGGTGCTCATTTGCCGAGAATGGTTTGAACATAAGTTTTTCACGAAAATATTTTAGAAAATAACAAAATATCCCATTTTAAACCTAATAAACGGGATTTCAGCCACTTTAAGTGTTATGGGTTAGCTCTTTGTGATCTGAGAACATTCTTGAAAAATGAAACACCCTATTGTACATGTATAATCATGCCGGGTAGAGCCAATAGCCCGTGGGGTTTTGCTTTTGCCTTGTTATTGGAGAATTGTCACCGGCTAGTTTACGAATACGTACAACAAGTCGTTGTGATGTTCTAATGTATGTTAGCATATTCCTTACCCGATTCCTTACATCTTTTTCTATCATGGTGTAAAATAACAACCTATGATATTAATTAACTCGCCAGAAATTAACATAATATTATTCGAAGCATGTTTAGAATATTTTGAAATCGCCATTGTCTCTCTGTCGATTTGACCAATCAGCAACAATGTCTTCTCAATACAGATTTACATTATAGATGTGATAGATGTCTTGTTTGAACCCTGGCGTTACCCCCCCCCCCCCCCCCCCCCCTTCGGCTAACCCGTGTTATGAGTGTTCAGCCTATGCCAACTATTGGGCTTTTGCAAAATAGAGTACCCTGCGTGCAGAGTCTAGTTAAACTACAAGACGAAGCTCTGTTTAAAGAAGTGAAGTCAAACGAATGCAAATATAGAGCGAATCAGGAAATCAAGGTTTTTGTTCATTATTTGTTAAAAGATGGCATAGTCGAAACAGATCTGTAATGGGGCCGTATCCTCCAAGATCGAGTCGCTGAACTGAATATTGAAATACATTCTGATTTATCTAAAGCTCTCTATTCCAAGGGATGATATGATATGATATGATATGATATGATAATACACTACAGACTGTGGATCCCCACAATCATCGAAATACTGCTGGGCCAAGGAGGTAACTATGGTCGGCGTTCAGCCCATTTCTAGAAATCTATTTCTGAATGTCAATGAAGTCTTAATAATTAAAACGTACCCAAGACTTTACTAAAGAGGCTTAAATGTAGTAATGTATGTTTTGATCATTTTAATACTATAGTAGGTTATTATCCTTTCTAATAACACTGACAATTATATAGAATCACTAGTTGAGATATAAAAGAAATACTGCTCAAGCAGAGGTCTTTGATAATTGTAAAAATTAATATAGATCGAAGAAGTCACTTTAAGGCGATTATTTTAATTCCTAATGAGTGGGGGAAGTTGGAGTGAGAGGCTCGGAAACGCTTTTATAAGGTATCAAAGCATCGACATACGATACACTATTGCTATTAATTAACCGCATGGAGTTTCTACTAGTTTTATTAATTCTATGATTACGAACAGAAAATCACTTCTTAGATTTGTTTTATTGTATGTAATCAGCTTAATAGAACTTCATTATTATTATCAGCCTATTAGAGCAATGGCTTCAGACATCTTCACCAGCCAGACAATTCATGCACTCAGCTCTAAGGAGGATTTATCAATCCTGGAATCCTGCGATCCTGCATCAGCATCATTCACAATGTTCCTTTCTTTTTCTGCTTTCGAAGGACGCGATTCTTGCAATACTCGCGATGGGTTAAGTTAATATTGCCAACTTAGGTTGAAAACATGTTATCATATTTGAATTCTTTATGTGTAGTTATGTGTAGAGAGAATGTTCAATGGAAGAGATCGTATGCTTGCATAACATCAACAACTTGGAAATATTAAGAGATATCTCATTTTCCGCAAAAAAACAAAATCATTAAAAAATGTAATTACACATCCTGTATTTTTGAAAGGACCACGTGCAGTATGGCAAGTGATTTTAGACGGTAATATCTTTCACTATGAGTACTTTCTGGGCGTAAATACAGTGGTTTTCATTAAAACAATTGTTTTCTTTCAAGTAAAGTCCCCATGATGATAAAGAATACCATTCGAACAATTCGAAAAATTATAAATAGGGACCCCACGTGAATTTATTTTTCAAAATGTTCAACTTATTTGCTCAAAAGAAGATCTTCTTTTTCTGATTCTTGTTGTACGAAAAGATTATTTAACAAGGGGTCTAAAACATCTTCAAAAGTAGAATGGTATTGAAAGTCTAGTTTTGAAGATATCAATTTTCGATGACCAAAAGCATGCTGAAAACAATGGATAGCATGAGTTTTCCCTATGGTAAAATAACATGGGAAATGTGGTTTTTAACTTTATCGCATTTCAATACCAAACCCCTTTTCAGAAGTTATTAATATAGTGTAGAAGAAACATATGATATATTTAAATTGAGAAAAGCAAGATCCTATTTTTAGAAAATAAGCCTTACATTTTCAAAAAAGTGACAAGGTGGGTTCCTAATCCATAATTTTTCAGAGAGTTATATTAATATTTTACTATCATGGGGACTTCACTTTAAAGAAAACATATTGTTTTAATAAAAACCACTGTATTTATATCCAGAAAGTACTCATGGTCACGTGAAAGATATGCCTGTTTAGAATCCCTTGCCATACTGCACATGGACCTTTACCCAATAAGTGGTTCAGTTCATCAAATTTGACAAAATTATTGATGCTGTACAAGTATAACAATCTCTATTGAGTGAGTTATTTCAAAATTGGTGGGTGGCATTTTTGTGTCACCCTGTATATGAATATAACATTGGTTAAAACTATAATATAACGAAAAATGGGCCTTTAAAGAGGATGATCCCCTCACCGGGAAGATGTACTATTTTGACTTTTGCTCAAAAATCGTTTTTGCTGATTCGAACACAAAAAATGCTGGTAAAATCAATATCTAGTAAAAATAGATTCATAACATAACTATATATTAACATGAATATATTCAAATATTCTCATAATATTGTCTTATCATGATATTGTCTCTGAAGTATATTAACTTGAGTATTACACCCTATGATTAGTGATCGTACCAATTTCGAATGGCGCTGGTAAAGACGAGACACGGCGCTCAAACCTGACTATGTCTGACCAGCAGTAAGTTTATTTCTTGAAGTTCCCTTTATTTGCCTGGTGCTGTTGTGTAACTTGGTGCACTGATGCTTCCGATGCCCATGATTAGATTTGTAATGTTAGAAACATTCATACCTAAATGTGAAACGGATACGAAGTGATATGAAGATTATCCGCATGATTCTTTTTCGATTATTTTCAAAAAATTATACTTCTCCTGCATATAATTCCTTGATATTCTGACTACATCTGTCATGCTAACAACTTCTGACTACAATTGCCATGTAATTTCTCTTCATCATTTCTCGTCACCGAAATTCTGATCGCCGAATAATAAACATTCATTTTTGCATTGGATATAAATAACTAGAGACCGCCTTTGTTTCACATATATGAAGAAATAAAACATATCTGTGTACATATAACTCTATATGTGACATCGATCAGGAATTATTGACACTTTGACCATATATTAGATCGTAATTTATAGCGGTAAATTCAAATTGTATCTTTAAACAACTGTTTTATCTCAACTATGCGTTTTATTGGATTGAAACCAAACGGCATGCATAGTTAACATCTTTCATTTCTAAAACAGCATAAAATCTGACAATATCATCACCTTATGCTATAATAATACGACTTCAAAAATTATGGTAATAATATTCTTGAGCGTCTTGTCTCGTCTTTACCAGCTCCATTCGAAATTGGTACGATCACTAATCATAGGGTGTATTACCAGAGAAATTTTACACAGAGACGATATATTATTCTATTGGACGACTGTAATGACTACTTCACGTTCGATACCCTAGCCATTGGGATGCCAGGATATTGAATCGCTGGTGGCATTTTCTTACGAGTGGATATCATATTTTACCACAGCAGAACGTTTTCAAATGAAAATCGTATTTGTTCCCATTAACAAAACTAAGAGTTTGGCCTTAATGAGACTTGTAATTAAATAAATCTCCTTAAACAACACATAGGTGGAGATGACGTGATGTTCAGTTTTGAAATAAGAAGCGATTGCACTTACGGATACCATAATATGAATAGACAAGGTTTTGAATGTCTTCATTACGCAGCGATAACGTTAAATGACTCGTTAGCTAGGTTAACTATCTATAGAGGATCCCCAGTTGCCAGAGGAAAATGATGCTAATTGTGAAAGACTAAGACCGGAGTAATAACCACCTCTTAATTATGACTTCTGAAATACTAGACATGACTTTTTTGAAACATAAGCTAAGTTCCATTATTGTGCTCTTATTGATTCAATTTAGCTTTTTCATAATCCTACAGCGTTTTAAGTCATCAAAAGTTGTGTGCTTAAAAGGAAATCATGTTTTGCCTATGGATAAAAAGTTTTATCCATAGCTGGGATCCATAGGTAAAAACATGATTTCTTTTTAAACACACAACATTTGATTACCTAACATAAGCAACAGAATTATGCATATAAAATATATAAATGAGAAATAAATCTAAAAGGGAATGAACATGAATCAAGTTTTTATTCATCGTTTTCCTGGAACAACTTGCTTGGCCAATTTAGTGGGTCTTTCTTTCAAAACTCAAATATTTCTTTCAAGCTAAAAGTTCCTCACTGAAATATAGACTACCTAGGATGTATGTTATCATCCACAATTTTTCCGAGCGTACATATGACGTTTGCTACACAAAGATCACCTACACACGAACAGTTCTGTAGTTTTTGTATTACTTATCCTGAATTGCGGGTGGTACAGTGTGTTGTCACGAGGCGCATT